TATACAATATATAAGTGATGACAATTACATTACCTCCATAACAACCAAACTAACTGAAGTCAACATGAGACGTCTTACAAAGCTCTGGAAAAAGTGAGTTGGTTGACTAACTTGTTTTTGTCTCTGTTTCCAAGTTGAGGAATAATAAACTCTGTAAAATGTAAGTAAAAACTCAAGACTTGGACTGTCATTTTCAAATGTGCTCATCAGTCTATGTAGGACTACATAGACACACACACACATGCACAAGCACACACCTGTCCTTAGTTTATCCGGTCTACAGTGTCCAGGCTGCTGGTCTTCTGCTGTAAATCCGTCAATACCCAGACATGACTCGTTGCAATAATGCATACGAGAGCAGGGCCTGTACTGTGCCTCACACAGCTGCTTGTGGAATACAGTATATGAACAAGTACACACAAATACTATATCATTACCATTACCACAATGAACTCACAACCCAGAATCAAAACAATTAACCCTTATGGGAGGACAACTGTATTTCTATAATATACACAATAAAGTCAATTATGGACACTAAAGCAAATCCAGGATTATTATTGGAAAGTAATCGCATTATTTGGACTTGTCTTCCTTGTAGGGACATTTTGACTGGTCCTCACTTTTTCAATGGACTGACTAAAATTAGGTTCAGGCCTTCAGGCATTTAGTTTGAATGGTGTGTGTGTGTGTGTGTGTGTGTGTGTGTGTGTGTGTGTGTGTGTGTGTGTGTGTGTTTGTTTACATACCGTTAAACAGGACATTTAACCATCATGGCTGCGGCGGAAGGAGGTGCGCGCGGCGTGTTTTCACGTCACGGTGACGCAGACCGGAGCTCGTGCAGCGGGATGTAAAGGTGATCGTGTCTGACACCTGTTTATTTTCAATATGATCATCATCATCATTATTATTATTAAAAAAGAAATAAAACTGTGTCCTGCTCCGGTTGTGTGTGACCTTACCTGCCCTGTGTGTGTGTGTGTGAGAATGTGTGTGTGCGCGTGCTGCTGTGAGCCGCAGGGAGAGGAGAGGGGAGGGGCTGGTTGTAGCATCACAGGGGCGGGACATGCAACGAGCAGGACCAATCAGCGCTCGATACAAATTACTTTTATAATTAAATGTGTTTTTAAGTTGGAATGTGTTAAACTTAAAGTGAAGACATAAACTCAGTGCAATTCAGTGGCTATGTATATATTCTATTTACACCGTATGTATTATTATTTCTATTTCTATTTTTTACTGCTTTCCCCATTGTGGGACTAATACATGATTATCTTATCTTATCTTCTATCTTGTTAGATTATTATATTTAGTAAGTGGTTTCAGGGAAAAGTATGGCGGTAAATAAATAAGTAAGAAAGTAAGTTAGTTAGTAAGTTACCACTTTTCTTAGACTAAAGTCAATTATCGCTTCACATCCATAAAATAACACCAGAGTAGTAATACACATCAAATATATGCAATAAAAGACAGTAAAAAACATGCAAGAGAAAGGTACAAAAATTGATTCAAATATGGGTTTGAATTGTTTTTAACGACGTCAACATTAGAAAGAGTGCTGTAGATATTACCCAGCTCAATAGTCGTTTTGTTGTCTAATATACTGAACAGAATGTAAATACTTACTAGGTTGTAAGATGACATTGTAAGGAAGGAAATTAGAAAACTGTTTGTGAATTAAAAAAGCTTTGCATAATATAGAATAACTGATGGTTTAGATATTCAAGGGCACCATCTTCTGGATGAACATAGTAACAAACATTTTTTAAGGTTGAACTTGTGGACAGAGTTTGCGTTCAAAAGAAAGTGGGACACATCTGTCACTCTGGGCCCCTGTTTGAATGTTGCAGCCTGGTTTCACATCATGACAGTGAGTTCAGTGAACTTCAGGGGCCTCCAGTCACCAGGTCTGAACCCAACAAACACCTGTGGGATGTGATAGAACAGGAGATTGGCATCATGAAGATGCAGCTGACAAATGTGCAGACATTTTGTGACAGAATCATGTCAACAAGGAGCCGACAACTGGAAAAAAACGTTTCTGACATCTTGTAGAATCTTGCAGAGAGGAACTTTCCAGTATGAGTATGACAATAGATGAATTAAAATCCTGTAACTGTCTATGAGGAACAATAAAATACTCACTCTTAGACTGAGGTGCTGTTTAAACACTTAAATCAGCCTTTTAGAGGAAAGTGAGACAATAAGAAAAGGGTCCCTTCTCTGTTACTGTGGTAAAAATATCAATTTATAACATAGAGTCACAAAAATGCATTTAACTGACAAACAAATGGAAAAGGCTGACATCTGGTGGAGAAGAAGTTAAAGTTGCAGGCTCTAAATATAATGACTGTTTGAGAGCAGGACATCATTCAGAAACCTAAACAAGTGGAAGAACAGGTTGCACTCTAGTTGGTGGATAATAAAGAACAAGTAGAAGCAGAAGTTGTTAAAAGTAAAAAGTAAATATCAATATACCCCACATTTCACTGTTCTATATTGGTCATTTAATATTTTAATACCTGGTGATTGAAACTCAGCATATTTTTAATGTATATGCAGCGTATACACACAAATACACAAAAGGTACAATAAATTTTACCCTAACTTGTGTTTTTAAGATTTACAATAATATTCTGGGTTGTCTGTCATTAAACCTGTTTGTAATCCTATGTTTCTGGTTTGCTTTGTACTTATGATACTCAGCATCATCTCTGTAGGATGTGGGTAACAGCAGTTAACCTTATACATCCACCTACGATACAAATGTGGGTGCGGATGTTTCAAATGTTCCAGTATTGGGCCACATGTAATCCTCTCTTGTACTATTTTATCAAAATGGAAATACAGGAACTGTAGTGACATGATAGTTAATTTGAATTTAAGACATTTTGATACTTTTTACTGTCATTCAGACAACATGATGATTTTAAATGTTGGCTGTAGTTGTACATAGCTCTTAGTGAATCTATAGCAGAACTTTTGACTTCTGTAGTAACAGGTCCTTATGCGTCTTAAATTCTCAGGTGATTCTACAACGTCCAGATGGTATCTGGAGCTGGTTCTGTTATATATATGTATATATATATATATATATATATAATTACATTTATATAGAAGGTAACCTTTGACTGACCGACTAAATGATCAATCAATTGCTTTCACATAGAAACAGTATTCATTAACCCACTGTAACCATAAGTTAATTAATGCATGTAATCCACTGACAGCAGAGCTCCATCAATAACCACCTCCTGTCTGTTCATGACCACTTTAATGATAATTGTCTTCAACAGAGGCACAGCATGAAGTTACTCTATCATGCAAAAAGTGATGATAAAATGAATCCATAAAAGATGCATGAAAACTTGAACACAGCATGACATCCTGTGGCTTTGTGGGCTGTTGCACCGCACTTGCAGAGGCTCTGAGAACTGAAACACCAGTGTCATCTGTGACATTCAACAGCGGGGAAAAATATACGTGAGATTTCATTTTAGTTTTACAGCACAGGGGAAGAGATCCATTCTTCTTTTCAGTGAAACACAGAGAGGATGAGAAGACATCTTCAGATACTGGAACCGTCTCTACTCAGCCAACAAGGACGAATGCTGTGTATCTTATTTAGTCTTATTGTCCGATATGAATCAACGTGAAGAGAAGAAACATTCTCATCCTGTTGAAGAATCTTAACAAGGTATGATTTATTTCTAAGGGCTCTGGAGGAAATGAACAAATTTAGTTGCTGAATTTGTAAACGTAGATTCATGTGTTGTCAGCATATAGGGAAATGTGTTAAAAAACTAGCAAGGATTATGGGGGAACAGAGGTACCTTTATGTTTTTCAGAGTGAGTGTTATTTTACAATACATTAGGTTTTAGTTTATAGAGGGGAATTAAAAGAGAATCTTTGTACTCGAAACAAATATAGTCTCTAAACACAAATAAAAAACAATTGTCAGAAATAAACCTGGCAAAGCAAAGGGTTTCATGTGATTGTTCAAATAGCATTTTGATTTGCTCAGCATTACTGCACATGTATTAGTATAGTAAATAATATAATATGTAAATGCTCTGACGACACAAAACTGCGACGTATTGTGTTCGAGCGGAAGAATAAAACAATGGCGGTGTGTAAGTGTGTAAGTTTGATTCAGAGCTGAAATTAAGACACATGTACAGGTATTTGGTAAAGTATGCGGATGTTGTATAAATACTTGTATAAATAGTTGCATAAAACTATCTGTATTGTTAAGTGGGTTGACTTCCTTTGACTGTGCTCATTTGTTTGATGCGTTAGCATTGTTAGCATGTAGCGATAAAGCCGTTTGCCGTGACAGTTTGGTAGCGTAACGGGCCGATTGTTGATACATTCCATTTTTTGTCGAATTTAAAGGTTTTGCCGATCTCGATCGAGTGTGTGGACGATGCTGCTGGATGTCCTGGTGTAGTCATTTATGACGATGAAACATTTACCATTCCTTGTCATCAGGTGATTAACAAACAGCCGTTAAAAAAAGTCACATTCATAAGGAAACAAAAAAATCGGAGTTAATGGAATTTTATGTCCAGTTGTTAAGATTGTGTTTTCTCTCGTCCCTTGGCCAGGATGCTGCACATGTGACGGCCAGTGGTGATGGACGAGACCCTCAGAGGTTATTATTTCTTATTTTCAGGTGCACAACTCTTTGCATATTCAACATGCAAACTTACTTATATGTAGTTTTACTTTTTCCGTTTTACTTGTAGTTCCGTGACAGTTTTCCAGTTAGACTGTTACACAGATGAGGGAGACATCGCAACGTTGCAGGAACCTCCTGAGATCGTCATTGACTCAAATGACAGGTAAAAAAATAAATAAAGTTACTTTGACAAATTATGTCTCAAACAATGTTCACTTGAGATAACAAACAGCTTCTGTGTCTTTTATTTTACCCAGATGTTTATTCTATTTAATATATTTACTATTTGTTTAATCAAAAAAGCCTCACTTTTTCACATTTTTCATTTCTAGGTTGATGATGAATTAAATGTTGATATTTACACATCTTTACTTTTTTAACTGTTTGTCTATGGGGATTTCAATTTCTATTTTTTTAAGACTAGATACTGTACAACTGCAGAACATGATTATTTTACACAATTAAGACACAATGGTATTTAATAACTGTAAACTTGTTTGTTCTATTTTCCACAGTCTTGAGGACGAGGTCGATGAGGATGAATAAAATCATTGTTGAATATCTGAAAGGACACTATAGCATCCCAGGCATTATCGAAGTTTTTATCCTATACCCACATACATAAAAATATTGGTGGATTGAATTAGAACTATATGAGGTGGAATATGTGAAAACCAATCTGTACAATTAAGCTACAACTAATGAAGGAAAGTTAAGTTAAGCAGTCCAGTTTACGTAAGAATGTTTCGAACTGGGTGAAAGATTTATTTAATTGTAGGCATACAAGTTTGTCACTGTTTTGCAGTATCCTCTGTTATAAATAAAGTTGCTTTAAAAAATGTTAAATATAGGTGTAGGATTTTCTTCTCACAGCAGTTCTCCTCTACAAACCCCTTTTGGGGTCTGCAGGATAAGTCATGCCTCCTCCATGTGAGTGGATGGGACACGTACCAGACCAAATACACTTTTTCTCAAACATGGTTTTCGTCTGTATCTATGACACGTATAAGTTCTGAATCCAGACAAATCCATGAAGGAGGCATTGCAGTGAAGTTAGTTTGGACCCCATGCAAGAGAACACTAGTGCCCCAAAGGAGAACAATCTTCATTATGACAATTGAGACTATTTCAACATATTTTATTATTTTTAAGCAAAATGTAATCAGACATCAACATCATCTGTGAATAAAAAACGTACATGATAATTAATCCCTGTTGTGATTTATTCTGGTTTTAAACACTGATGTACATCATTAGGTTGTTAATGTCCCTGTGTGATTTCTCGGCAGAGACAGGCTTGTGTACTCTAGCAACAGCGTCTGATATTAATTTAAAAAGAATTTCTCTTCCTCTTTTTATCGTGCCTGGCCAACACCAAGCTCACATATGCTTAAAAACGTCACCGAACGCAACAATGTCAAATTACGTCGACATTTTTACAATGTTCTGCACTCCAGCAGTTTGAACCTCAGTTCAGACACAAAAATTCTAACATTAAAAAGGATTTGGAAACAAAGCAGGTGTTCGTCAAAAAACATCAGTGTATTTAAACATTTTCACAAAATAAAAAACCTGAAATTGCAGTTGCATAGATTAAAGCTACATGAATCCCAAAACACAATGTTTTTTATTTCACTTGGTTGAGATTAAAGCCTCATAAAGTGATTTTAGAGACACGAGGGCTGGTGGCTACAAGCTACATTGCATACCTGTTTAAGGGTGTTCTGCTTTTTCAGGTCTCTGCCCCCTAACATAACCAGGTCACGTGAGGGTCATTCGACACACTATGGAAACTATTGACCAATCACAGGACAGTGGGCCAGCAGGCCAATCAGACTGGGCTTACTGGGAAGGGTGTTTTAAAGAGACAGGAGCTAAAAGCGAGTGTTTCAGACAGAGGCTGAAAAGAGGAGGAGCAGCAGCGATGGACAGTATGAAAAAAGTGATGTTTTCTGAACATTAGAGCACGTAAACCTTTTCAAGTAACAACTCAACTTAGGAGCATAGGATGCCTCCTTTAAATAAATTTAAATCTCCTTTAAAAAGAAGCTCTGCACACAAACATACCACTATAAAAAACACTGGAAACTCAGGAATGCAATTCACAAAAAAAACAAAACAACACTTTTACCCTTGCTTACAGCATCAACCTAAACAAAAATATACATTCAAACCTCCCAACAAAGACAAACACGCCAGCGTCAAGCGTTTTGTCCATTGTGAAACAAACACTCTTACAAGAAGAAAAACTGACACACAAACAAAATGAAATATCTGTGGCAGCTGTGATTGGCTGATGAGCTCTCTTGCATTTAATCTTTTGGGTTTAGAGGTGATCATTTAACGGGACAGCAGGTGGCGTCGTCCCTGACTGCGTCTGGTGTGGTGAGGGACCTGGAACAGAAGTGTCAGGTTAACTAACAATCATTGTGATGATAACTACCTAAAATGACATAAACCATCTTCAATGAACACACTGATACAAACAGAGGTGTGTTAGTATGGGGGTGTGTCTGTGGAAGACAAACCTTAGGTGTTTCCGGGCTGCCGAAAGGCGAGAGTTCAAGGGAATTCTCTTTGTCGGACGAGTTGTTATGGCGATACTGGGAGAACTTTCTCTTTAGTGCTTCTGCGATAAGAGCTGCTGGGTCATTGAGCAGTGCTCCCCCTCCCTTACTGCGTCTCCTCCTGACTGGTGTGCCCCCCGGTGACCTGGAGGGACAAAAACCAAAATTATACCACAGTCACCCAATTAAATCAATAAAGAAAAATAATAAAAAATAAATGAGTAGGTAATGGCACACTGAGGAGACATCTCTGCAACCTTAAGATGCAAACAATCATATTCTAGGATTATAACATTGATGGAACTCAAACAACAAGAATTACCACCGGAAAAATCGAATCAGGTCATCTTTGAGTCCAAGTGTGCAACAGATCCAATGTTTATTACTTTTATTGGTGCAACACAGCAAATTTCCTCATTGTGGGACTAATAAAGGATTATCTTGTTTCATCTCTATGGATGTCCCTGGTATATCCCGTTCACAATAACATGAGGTCACTGTGACCTCCACCACCAACATCAAATCAATTTATCTTTGAGTCCAACTGAACAATTTTACCAAATTTGAAGAAATTCCCTTAAGGCATTCATGAGATATCACGTTCACTGGATTGGGACGGATGGACAGAAAATACCCCAAACATTTATAACAAAATCACTGACACGCCTACACATTCTGTCAAAGCTGATGCTTACCTCTCCACCGAGCGCAGTGTCACTTGATTTAAGTCCTTGAGAACATCCAGCATTGAGGGGATCCCTTTAACTTCTGCCCCCCCGCCGGGGTCTTTCTCGTTTTTCCTTCGTTGGCGGATCAGCTCTGTCACAGACAAAGTGTCAGTGGAGGCACTAGTGCAGGGAGGTAGAGGAGGAGGAGGAGGAGGCGGTGGAGGAGCAGCAGTGCGAGGTGTGGAGGTAAGAGGTGGATGAGGAGACATCAGAGGTGTTCCTGGGGCAGTCTGGAGCTTGTTCAGACCTAAAACATGTTGCGAGGTTAAAAACTAAATTGCACATGTTTGACGTACTGAGGATAAACATGTTTGTGATGAGTTGAGTTCCAAGGAACAAAGACTGAGCACCTGAGGCTGGAGCAGCGGTGACAATCATGGCTATCTGAGCCCGTAGTTGTAGCAGCTCACTCTCCAGGGCTGTGATCTTCTTCAGGGCGTCTGGATCAGCGCTCTGTCTCACACCTCTGCCTCCTCTCTGGGTTTGCTTCGTGCCCGGTCCCGGGTATCTCACCACATCTCGATTTACAGTACTTCGCTTCTTCGGAGGTAAATGGTTCCTGCACATGGACGTTTCACCTCTTTATACTTGACCAAATTATTTAGTGTACAGTCAGAAAATAAAGTTTTTCTCTGTAGTACACAGACACTCTTAAACTCATCAATTGATTTTGCAAGAGAAAACAATTCTGCATACTAACTAAATCAGCCACAGTGCGATTTATGTAGAAGAGTTATTAATCTAAATGAATCATAAATAAACACAGAAGCTAGTATTTGCTGCTAAAATGTTTTTTTTGGGCTGAAAACTAAATTATGACTGTTCTTCAATGAAACATTTTATTGCTGGTTTTAATATCATATTAAAATTAAATTTAGAAAAATTTCAACATTTATGGGTTGATGATGGCTCAAAACGACACCCAGTGTTTAAAACCATCTTGGACCCTCGCAACATTTCGATCTGTTTTAATAAAATGCAACAATACGGATGGATTCTATGACATGGAGCTGCCATGCAGCTGCAGAAAATGATGGTTAAATCACAAAGACTATTGATGTTTCGCTTTACTGCTTGTGATTGTAACCAGTGATTGAGGAGCAGGAGCGTCAAAGGAAAAACTGCCCTGTGTGTTTGAGCCACGTCTGTTTATGTGCTTACCTGGTCTTGGCAAAACTGTCCCCCTCATCCTCAAACACCCACATGACGTCAGCAAATGAGGGGATGGCCGGCGTTTCCACGGTGACGTCGACATATCCATGGGGCTTATAGGTGAGCAAAGGGACCTGAGGCAAAAACATGGACGTTACACCTATAGATATTTGGATGAGTTATGAATGAGGCACATAGATCCACAGCTGCTTTGTAGAAGTGAAAAAGGTAAAATGTGTAATTTTATGACACGACAATCTGTAGTTTTATTGGTTTTACTGCATCACCCTGTTAGAAAGTTGCACAGTACCTGAAAGTGAACACGTGGTGATGGTGTCAGGGGGAGATTTGTCCCAATCATCCGCACAATGCTGCGATACTGACCGCACTGCTGACTGTCCCACACCGGGACCAGCTAGAGACCAGACGACAAAAGATGCAGCAATAAATGGATTAAAATACAAAAAAACAATCACTCTCAGGGAGTCAATTCTAGTGATTTTTCTCAGCCACATAAAACAATTACTGTGGATCCCTGAATCCCAGGGATGAATCCCAGGGATGCAGAGTTGCAGCACTCACCATCTCTGGATCCACGCCAAAGTAATCCAGCACGATGCGCAGCACATCCAGAATATCTTCCACTAAAGACATTGGAAGGACTTTTCCCTGCACAGGCTGACAACTGCAAAGCTGCTCTTTCTGCTGACAGACTTGGTGAGAGGCCAACACAGGGAAGATGTCACTAAGTCACATACTTGGCACCTGGAACAAAAGATGCAATGCTTAACTATAGAAGAGAACAAATGAAAGGTGGACCTCAAATTTAACAGTAATCAAATCATCGATATTATCTCAGGAAGACGAAGGAGAACTTTTATTTTGAGGAGCTTTGACTGTGCAGGTCGCTCCAGACTGCAACTACTTGATAGTGTGTGGGGTAAAATTTCAAATGGCCACATTTGTGCCAGCGCATAATGAATGTTTTGGTGCCCCTCCCTCATTGATACTGCAGTTTAAAGTTTTCTTCTTCTTCAGCGACTCAGTCTCTCTGCCTGCAGGAAAGAGGAGGCTGATGGGGAGGGAGAGCAAGCGACCCGACTCAGAGACCAATGATGGGGAGAGTGCGGGTGCAGTGTGAGGAGGGGTGCTAGGTTGTGTGTGTTTTCATTGTGCACAATGTGGCAGGCCACTGTAAAACTGTTATCAGGTACCAAAAAACACGTTGTATTTTAACGCTTCAACCCATTTGAAATAAAGGTCTTTTACATGTTTCAAACCACTTTGAGTGCCTGGACCTGGATTCTTCATAACATTATTTTTGGACACAGGTTATCCTGCTCCTTCCACCTCTCTCTCTCTCTCTCTCTCTAAAATATATACATTAGTGCATTTAAATTACTGTCAAATCTTTGAATTTCAAAATATCTGTCACATCTGTAAGCACAGAAAACACTCAGAGGGATGGAAGCTCTTCATTCAAATAAAAGTGATGTGGATGTTATAGTTCTAACCAAAACTATACATGGGGTCCATCACACACACACACACACACACACACACACACACACACACACACACACAGCTGTCCCCCTCTGTATCTCTGGATGCTGACTCGGCTGAGAACTCGCAATGGATCAGCACAATAGATGGTTCGCACACGCGCGCACACACACACACACATGAATAGAACCCCAGTCGGTTCAACACAATGCAGGTAACACTCCGCAGAGGAAACACGCAGCAGCAGAACATGCGGGATGAGCAGGAACACACGTGCACTTACCGTGAACTGGTCTCCTTATTGAAAACTAATCAATACACTGATCAGGAACTGTCTTCATGCCGATCGACGCACACTTAAACCTGCAGATACACACTAACACACGGAACCAGCCTCTCAGCTCACGCGCTCAACAGCCAGGACTTCTGCAAAGTCAAATAAAGCAGAAGCAGCAAAACCTTCTCTGATTGGCTGGCGGTACCGAATCAGCGGAGAAAGCCAATAGGAGATCGCGGTCCTGCAGCGTCGGTAACGGCCGGTCGACCAATCGCGTGTCGCGGAGATTCAGCACCAATTTTGTACTTTTGTCACACGAGTTGTTCCTCGTTCTGAGTGAGTAAAACCAATTCCGTCGCATTTATGACGCGTTTGTGACACTTGTTACTTTTATATGTGTGTTAATATTTTAATTCAAAGTCATTTATTTAGTTTAAAGTCCAAACAACGCGACGGGAATGTACGTTTCCGTGGGAGAAGTAGTTAGCCCCCCTAGCTAGCCACAACGTTAGCAGTAGCAAACAAGCTAACTTCAAGCTAACTTTTTTGTTGCCTGTTCATTAAGTGTCTCATTCGACTGTGAATGTCCCCCCCACCTCCACCCCCAGGTCCGGTCCGGTCAGCAGACATGATGGACGCTCTGTCAGTGGTGAGTCAGCTCCGGGACCTGGCCTCGGAGCCGCAGAACCGAGAGGTGATCGTCCAGGACCAGGGCTGTCTCCCCGGGCTGGTTCTCTTCCTCGACCACCAGAACTCCGAGGTTCTGCTCGCTACTCTGCAGGTGAGCGGAAGAAGTGGTGGTTGAATTGGAAGAATGACGGATCAGTTAATCACATTCATTAGTCTTTACTGTCATTATTCAGTTGAATGCATCTCATCCTCCAGGGATAACACCATCCATAATCTAACATGCAGGTTAATACATGTCCCGTTAATATCCCCTGCTTTACTGAAACACCATACAAACACAACAACATAAAACCAAGATAGAAGAAATAAAACGATTGAATATTGAGTGATTGAATATTTTAATATAGGCATTGTTTTCATTTCTGCCAAATTGGGTGAAGATGTGCAGAAACACTGCTGTTATTCTTTATTACTTCTGAGGTGAGAAGATGTTGGTGAGTTTGTAATTAGCTGCTAAATGTACTTGTGTACATATGAATCCATTAACTATCTTTATGTTTTTCAGACACTGCGTTACTTGGCCGAGTTGCCTCCCAACATCCCCACCATGAAGAATGAACTGGGTATGATGGTGAGCTTGGAGAATCTCATGGGAAGGTGAGGGGATCATGTTTTACAAACTCTCTTGGGGATAATTGGATATTTCATGTTACTTTACAGAAGGAAAGTTGCGTCTGACATGATCGATATTGCTTCTCAGGGAGGTTCTGTCTGTTGACATCACAGCCTTGGCTCAGGAGGTATACGACATCCTGCGTACACCTGCTAATCCTGCACCCAGGACATCTGAGAGGGAGACGAGAAAGAAATCCCAGTTCTTCATCAACTCCTCCAACAAGAAGGCCAAGTCTGTCACTCTGCACATTCAGGGCCTGGACACCACCGTGAGTAGACTGGATGACAATCACACTATTGTTATTATATCCGGCCTAACCCTGACAAAAAATTCTCCCTCTGTTACTTAGGACCAGCGGGGCTTGTGTGAAGAGGCTCTTCTGAAAGTCAGAGGCGTGATCAGCTTCACGTTCCAGATGGCCTCCAAGAGGTGCACTGTCCGTATCCGCTCTGACCTGTCTACTGAGGTAACACACATTTACTGTCAGTGGCGCTGATGTATCAATATTTGGTACAAGAATCAGGCACAAGGAAATAGTGCATCGTGTCTGATTGTCCTGTTGCACTACTCTATTTTGCACATTGTAGTTCTGGTTATTTGTTAGCTTATTTTGTCTTTATTTTGTTTTTACTCTGTCTATCTGTGCAAGTACACTCAGCGCAATTAACACCAGAGTCAAAATGTGCAAAAATACATGGGGAAAAATTATTCTGATTCTGATTGTTGTCTAATAATCCCTGACATGACCTTTGTTGATTTCACTTCATTAACAGAGTCTGGCATCAGCCATCGCTGCCACAAAGGTTCTGTCAGCCCAACAAGTGGTGAAGAATGAAGCAGGAGAAGAGGTGGGTACATATTTATAAGAATCTGCTGGAAAATATCTCAACAATTGTGGGGTCAAGTTCACATTTGACTTTTAAAACATACATTTCTCTCTTTTTTTATTTTGCTTTATTCAGGTTTTGATTCCTCTGAACCCCTCTGGAGTGAAGGTCGAGCAAAACTCAGCACTACCAGATTACCTCCCGGAGGAGGAGGAGAGCCCAGAGAGGGAAGTCGACCGAGCTATCTCCCGCACCACAGCAAAGGAAGATTCCAATGGGAGCTGGCTCAACGCTGCTGCTGGTTTTCTCACAAAAACCTTCTACTGGTGAAACTGGAGCAGTTTGTTTCCCTGAAACTCAAAAGAGTTTGTCACAGAGTTGAAGTAGAAGACTGCCCCCTGCTGCTGTGTATGTTACGAGTGGACATAAATGGATATGAGCAAGCCACAGGACTGCATCCTGACTTTGTTTGCACAGTCAGAACTTCAAATTGCCATCAATCCCTGTGACTAACTTAAAATATCAACTTGCTCCAAAGCACTTCAGATTTTAGGATCTAGAACTGTTCTGCTTTGAATTGAATAGAGACCCACACACTTGAAAAAAAATGTCTCTCAGGCCTTCAGTGCTGTTTTCTATCCACTTTTTTCATCGTGTAAATATTTTCCTCATCTTTCCATGTTTTACTTCAAACTTTCCCATTTTCTCCTTGTGTTGAAAAAAGTTTTACAAGTCTTTGAATTGTCTGTAATAGTTTGAAAAGTAAATACTAAATATTACTACATGTCCATGTGCACTTTTATTTGTCATTTCTCTGCTGTTCTTCCTTTGCTTGGATTAGAAACAAATAAGTGTAAGAGCACATCAGTGAATAGGTAATCAATTCAAAAAGTTTTATTTTCTTGCCACAGTTGTACAAAGATTTCAGTTTTACAGTGGTTCAAAGATCTTATCCCACAGCCCGTCTCCTCTGAAGTAAAGGACTTGTTAGTTTCCAAAACCTCATGGTCAGTCTTAGTAAAATAGATCAACTTTTTATACACAATGTATATGATATATATGTATAATATACTTAAGAGGAGATGTTGCTCGTGTTAAAGCAGTTTCTTTGCAAGTTAAGTCAAGTTTCTATGGCGATAAGGACATGCTATGTACCACTGGCTGAAACCATAACGTCAAAGCCAAGATATGGATAAGCTCTGAAGTTTCCTTCCAGTTTGGTCGTACTGCAAGAGTTAGAACTGAGGGAATGAAGTGCAAAGGTTCGAGAACCAAAAACTGACAGCAGCATCACTAGAAGTTTTTATGAAAAAGATGGAAAAAAAGATCAGGTTAGTTAACAGCGTTTTACTAGAACCCCCCTCATTAATCATTCCTCAGTGAAAAGCTGTTTTAAAGACCCAGTTATTTGACATTACAGCTCTGACAACATTTCATCATGATCTCTCAGACTTTAACATAAATCAAGAAAAGGAAGCTACTGGAGAGTTTGTGGCCAGAATGTCAAAAGCTCAAACCGGGAATGCATATTTTGAATTTCAGTTCCAAGTATAGACAAGACACCTCATTCTTCCAATAATGCGGTAAGGCAAAGGAACGTCAAGAATTAGCAGCATTTCATCATAAAAAAAAATCAATTTAATGAGATTATTTCAAAATTAACATTAGAAGTAAATTCTTTTCAAACTCAAAAACAAGATGCCGAAGCTACAGCGTTCTCCTCGGACTTGTTCACCGCCACAGATAAAGCGACAAGACAGAGGACGCAGCTTTGATTGGAGAAACGTGAAAAGAAAAAAGGGGCAGGACTTGACGTCAAAACAGATTTTTTTTTCTCTCAATCTGAACAGAAAGCAAAGTTTGGAGGAGGAAACAAAGCATCAAATTTTTATCTGTACAGCAATTAAAACTAAACGAAAAAAAACTAGTTTACACATTAATCCTCAGTGTTTTCATAGTTTAACTTAAACTCCATGATACTCCGACGCTGCCCCAATAATAACCTAATTTTAAACACTATAGACACAGCAAAATATATTTTACATGACACGAACCTTTACTGTCGTCTTAATGCAACATCATGCACCGTTGTCATCCCAGCTCTCCTGCAACATCTTTAATAGAAATGTTAAAGCGAGAGCACGGGCATAAATGAAACCTTATAATTCAGATCCTGCTGTGTGAGTTCCAGTTACGACGTCACTGTGCTGATTCAGTCGATCTGATTACAGTATGTCCTACACAAACAACTTCAAGTATCACGACTGATGTCATTTATATCACTATAAGTCTTTCTCTCTCTCTCACACACACACAAACAAACACACACACACACACACATGCACACAGTCAGATGAAACGCTCAATGCCCTCCAGTGACTTCAGGACACTCAGGGGTAGATGGGGCTGTACACAGAACAAACATTATGGCCGAGTCTAAACGTGGTCAGAGAAAGAAAGACAATCTGTTTCCCCAGAGAGTCAAGGGAAAAGTGAACTTTGCTCTGAAGATACTTCGGTTTTTTTAGGGCAGATCTTTGGGAGACACCATCTTTGGGATGTGTGCTCTGCTGTGGCAGGCCCGGGTGAGAAAGTTAAACCTCCAGGTGCTGCGAGTTCTTCCTTTTGATTCAGTCCAGCAGCTCTGTTGTTTCACCAAATCTCACTCTGACCACCTCTCTTCCTGTCTCTCTGGGTGCGGAATCCTCTCGGTCTCACGGGGGATCAGGCAACATCTGAAAACCAAACGAACGGGTTTGACTAAAAGACTCAAAAAGATCTCGACTTCATTTGTGCTGCTGTGCGTTGGGTAACTCATGAAAACTTTAAATTCAAAAGTGTCAAAGCTAAAGCTAGTAAGTCCCTCATATAAATATAAACACTGTTAAAGCTGTTGGGTGTGATTACTGACAAAAGCCTGTTTCGTAATGTAGATTTAGTTTTAGATAAATTCGGAATCACAAGCCTCGATGAGAGATACGCCCATTAGACAATGTCACTGCCCACATACTTCATTGTCGGCATTGTTGTTACGCATTATCCACTAGAGGGCAGAATAGAGTCGAGACAGGAGGTTGTGATAATGTACCTCTTGAGGCCGAGGGAAGAAACATCATAGAGACGCCTGAGTCTCTCCTCTAAAAGTGACATTTCTTCCTTGTGTCTTTTAGTTGTCTTGCTTGAGCTATTCGCTACACTGCCCCCCCACGATTTCCTGTGGTACTGCTCTGTTTCGCCTGTTTCATCCGTATCTGTAAGCTTTCAGAAAACAAAATGAGCGTAGAGTACGGACAGAGTACGTTTCTGTACAAGAATCTAAAGTTGAGCAAAATTGAGCCTTTAGAGTTTTCACAGGATGAGTAGCAGCTCCGCAACTATTCTCAGAAAGAGGATATTTGCTGACCTGGTCCCTGCTGGGCTGATATATCCTCTATTCCACTCAGAGGCTTTAGGAGACCATTCTCCCTGAAGGCTATGACAGGAACTCTCTCTTCCTCCTGCTGCTGCTGCTGCTCCTCTCCCTCAGGAGGAGACAACCTGGAATGTGAAGGCAAGACGATCACCTCCTCGAAATCTCCATTCTCCCTGAGAAGCAGAAACAGGGATGGTAAACAGAAATAAAATAGTGTACTTGTTTTTAGAGTTATTTGGCTTTATATTGACAGAAACAAAGAGGGACAGACAAGAAACAGGGTGAGAGCATAGAGCAGACACACAGTAAATGGTCCAGCCGGCCTGGGATAAATTCATGCCTCTTATAACGACGTACGTGTCATGCCTCCATATTAATCAAAGATAACACTAATGTGAAAAATTATATTATCATTAATTATATTTATGGTGTTGCCGGCGTACAACCTCTGGTCAGGATGGCTCAGTGCTGTGGTGCTGGGGTTTGGGTTGGGTTCAGTTTGTCGTCTGTTGCCGTTGCTGTGCTGTGTTGGCGACATCGTCACTGCTGACGGAGCAGGAGAGGCTGATGATGAGAAAACCAGCAGTCAGAAACACCATCATGGCAACAACAGAGGTTACTCATCATTTGTTATTTCTGCAAAATTGTCTTAAAGAATATGCAAGGGTTTGATTATGTAAAAAGCTGTTTTCACTGACCTGCACTGTCTCCATTCCTGCTCGGAATTACTTTCTACAGGTGGGACACGAGAAAAAGAGAATAGACGCTCAATAACATCAAAGATTCTCCGCAGTTTATGAGATGCCACATTTCTTCAAACCTTTACCTTCTCTGCTGTATCTGAACGTCTTGTTCTCTTCATAATCTCCTCCAGGCGCTGGTGACGAGAACAACAAAGAGTTTTTACATTGTACACAAGTAATATCAAGTGTGTGTGTGTGTGTGTGTGTGTGTGTGT